CATATTATCTTGTTTCTTAAAAACAAAACATTCAATACTATATGAATTTATTTTATTTAACAAATGACAATTAAAATGACACATAACACATAATCACAGTCAATTTCAATCATAAATATCCTCATTAAAATTTAACAGGCACAAACAACCAATCTTAACCAGAAGCTTTATTGACTTGACAGTATGCCACCAGTACAGACCCTCAGTCCATTGGCCTATCTGCGACACTTAAACGTTATGATAATGAAATCCCTTGAACTACTTATGGACTTGCCCAAATTTAAAGTAGGGCGAGTCCATTATACAAATTTAGCAAGAACAACTTAAAAAAGTAAAAACCTGTCAAATATTATCATACAAAATTGTAGAATAGTATAGTAATTTCATGTAAGTTTACCAATTGGTGTGAAATTTTAAATAAGAAAATATACAGACTATTATAAATAACCATGTAGAAAGGGGATTTTCAAGCTCTATTTAACTGATACAGTATGAATGTTTTGTAATTTTTATACAACAGACTTTTAAGGAATTTTTATAACATATTTCAGTGTCTTGAAAGCATTTTTTTTTTAAACATCAATTATTTACAACAAAATTATAGCAGTTCTGTTGTTAATCATGCTAAAATTAACTTAACCACCTTTTGCTTCCACAGTTTATCTTATCCTTGAATGAACTTTTATAGTAAATTACTAAATATGAACTATGCTGTCAAAATGTTTATAAACTATGACGCCATGAAAGTTGCTGATGCTTTTTGAAGTCCATCCCTCCTGAAAAAAAAGAGAATATTTTCCAATCATATCAACAAAGCATCATTTATAAAACTAATACAGACTAAAAATTGAAAAGATGCATATAGTTATTTTTGCCTAATTTTTCACTTTTTGATAGGCATGAGTGATATTTCAATGGAGTATTTAGGAGCTGCTTATCTCTACTATCTATGTCTCTGCTATAACTATCAAACTAAATTGGATAATTCCTTTTATATTTTAAATTTTAATTTTATGATCAAAGTATATTTACGCTGCATGTAAAAATGTGTCAAATGTAACTCTGTTGTCCATGGCGCCGTCAGGTTGAGCATCATATCCTTTGATTCCAAGAGTCTCTAATGCTGTATAAATCAAAACAAAAACAGATGAAAAAAATCATATCCACAATTTTTAAATACTTAATCATAACCATGGATTTTATTTGATTATTATATACTGAGCATTATATTTTATTTTAAGTTCAACATACTGTGATACATGTAATAAAAGTGAATGTTCATTAAATTCATAAAAAATTACCTTCACAATATTGTTGAAGGGTAATGTATCCTCTGTTAGTAGGATCTAACATTCCATAAACTGACTGTATATTGCTATCATCAAACAAACAAGGGCAGTCTCTTTTTGTTGATTTGGCTTTTTGAAGTCGTTCGAGATTCTCAATCATGAATTTTTTGGGGTCAGCTGTAAAATAAATTATGAATGTAGACTAGAGCTCTAGTGTATCAAATATAAATTTAGGTTACATACCACGGAGGAAACATACCAGAAGGTTACTTACCATTTTTGGAGGATACATACCACATATGTATTTTGAAGTATATACATACCTGAATTTGTTTGGGTCTAATGCGAAGAAAGGTGAAGGTTGTGAGATTATAAACCAATTTGTTTTTGTATAGTGCCACCAATGCTGTTTCCAGTGTTATAACTGTAGTAAATTGGCTATAAGGCTAAGTGCAACACCTATATTCAATTCAATGTTAATATTTGGCTTAAACAATTAAAAAAAAAAAAAAAATTGCCTTCACTGTCTGGGATTTGAACTCCGGACCTCTCGCTTACTAACCGAGCGTGTAACCCCTCGACCACGGTGAAGTTTTAAGATAACAACCTGTAGAAAACCACATTAGTCTAAATAAGGGTTTGTAACTGTTAATATTTCACGGTAAACCTGTTGTTTAACACCGTATGTAAGTAATCATGGAGCTTAATTTAACATAAGCATGTTTATCTATAAAGAATAACACAATATTAGAAATCTTCGACAAATCGGGAACTATTTTTTCTTCCCCGATAATTAATGCGCTTGTCATTTGACAATCTTTACGCAGTGATTTCCCTTAATTTTTCAGCGTTAGTGTTAGTTATAAAGGGAAGTAACAGCTTCGAGGAGTTGGGACTTCTTTTGGTAATTGCAAATAAGCACATCAGTAAAGAAACGATAAAAGTAGTGGTATTTCACTGTTGCCTCGCACTAGGGGGCGGGCTCCCACTTATGCTACACCTCTCATGTCTGAGTCTGAAATTTCGCTACCATTATTTGTTTGGTCGGACAACCAAATGGCCAAACAAATAAAAACATTAGATTCATTAATGCAATAATTTAAAGAATAATTTATAATTTTACAATTTATCCCTTATTTATTATCCCTTTATTAACTATTTCTATATATGTGGTACATAACCTCCCAAAATGGTAGATCTACATTTATGCAGTGTAATTAAATTGATTATTCCAATTTAACAAAGTTTTTGTTAATTTTTTTTCTTTTAAATTCAAACCCATTTGTCGTGTGCCTTCTGTCACACAAGTTGACTGCTTCAAAGCAGTTAAATATTAGACGAATTAGCTTGTTATCATTTTTATTTTAAGATTATTTTTATAAATAAACAGATAAAATAAATTCTGGCTGTTCATGTGTAGAAAACAATTTACAAATGACTGTAACGAGTTAATTAAATTGCTGAAGGAAAAATAATATTTACCTGGTCTATTAAAAATTAACTGCGATGTCATATTATTAAATAGCTCCAGTATTCGATGATTTTGTAAATATAAGTTAGTTTCATCTACCCTCGGTTTACCAGTTTCTCCATCGGTCGCCATTTTTACGCTTAACTGTAACCACAACAACAGTGCAGGTGCGCGCCACATCGCCACAACTAATATCTCGTAAACGGTATCCGTTCACGAAAAATCGTAAAAAGAGGCCCACCATGAAAAAAACGAATTTCAATCTTTGTAACTGTATGCTTGGTCAAGTAAAATAGAATTAAAAATGGTTTAATTATAACAATGATTGACATATGTTTTTTTAAAACATAGCATAGTATATATCTTTTGTAAGAAAAAAAGAAAAAAAGGAATTTCCCAAAATAATGAAATATTTAGTACTATATTAAAATTTTAAAGCACAACAGTTGTTTATACTTGATATACGCTATAGCTCTACAGTGAAAAGAAATACAGTCTTATATCAGTTTTATATGATATATATTCATATAATGTCCAATAAAATTAAATGGCAATATCAAAAGATTAGTTATTTGGAGGTCCTGGTTGCAGAAATGCAACTGCTTTATATTTTAAGCACATGCATCAATGTATAGTTTTTAAGATAAACAACTACACTACTGATGAGCAAGCGTTTAATTTATTAGCACATATGCTAACAGTAACTTTTTAATTCTATGATTTAAAAGCTATTTAATTTAAGAGCCCTGTTATAGTTTCCAAAAAAGGAATTTACATTACCGATACCACCTTTTTCCTCTGTTGCATTTCTGAGGCATAACGTGCCTTTAAATAAAGAAGTTCTACTTCTTTTGTTATTAATACATTTCTCAGACACAAGCCTATGTCTGTTTACCATATTATAATGACAATACTTTGATTTTTCAGACTCCACGTAGTATTTACAAAGTAATCGAACAATGCGTGATATGCTTTTCAAAATCTTGATATTATTTTCTGAAAGTCTGGCGGATTGATCCATTCACACAATGACTTTTGTTTCTTTTTCTCTTAAACACCTTTAATACCTATGTCTTTTTAAGTTTTTCTTCCTTGTGGTTATAATGCATAAAATATTCAAAACAAGAGGTACAATGTACAACTCTTAATTGAACATCAACATTGAAATAGTAGGAGTTGTTTCCCTTGAGATATCAACAGAGTGAGATTGGATGATTTTGATAACCCTTACAGTGCTGAGCATTATCATTCAACCAGTTTGAAACTGGGCCAACAGCCAAGTTACTCGCTGTCAGATCTGGTTCTTTGCTGTTTGCCATACTGACATTATTTCATATTGAATATTCTATTGACAGTTTCTTAAGATTATATTTGAAGCAGACAACATCAAAGGTTTAAATTAGGTTAAGTAACAATGTTAAATTGGGAATCGTTCATTATATTACAAGAAGGTCTATGATACTACAATATAATAACTTCAGAAAATTTCAATCATCTATCTTTTTTTTCTTTTCATTTTTTATCCAATAAAATGGTGCCATCAATTAGGGTACGTCAACAACCTACTCTTTTGAAATCACGAATTCTTGTCAATTATGAATATGTATATTTAATTCTGCTATATGTATATGTTCAAGAGAATTTGTAAGGTTAGTATGGGGTGATCATTTGGACGGGGATAATAAATGGGGTCACCCTTATTGTTTGGGCAAAAAAAGAAGAAAAAACTTCAGAAAAGGAATATTTTATTAATGTTATGTTGAAAGTAGGTCTGGCACTAATAATGTTTCACTATATTGGTAAGGTACTGTTGGATAACTTTTTTTTATAATCCTTGTAAAATCGTATTTTTTTTAAACCTTTTTAAACAAATACATGTATCTCTATATATTGTATGTTTATTCATAAATGTTTTGTACTGTGAAAAAAACTAAAAATGAAATAGAAAAGATGAAAAAATATTCATTTATGAGGCTTAATGTGCCTTTTAAAAAGTCCGACTTCTTTTATTGCTCTGACACATGCCTCTGCGTAAATTATGGTTTCTGCACCAATTGACAATCTATCGCCTGTTTACCATAATATAACGACATTTCTTTGGCGTTTTTAAGACTCAACGTACAATTCACAAAGTAGATAGCACAATACGTGAAGTACTTTTCAATCTTGATATTTATTCAGGAAGTCTGGATTACTATTATATAAACGTGTACTAACAATTGCGTCTCAGTTTTAACTACTTATGTAATGTCCCTAAGATGCCTATTAAGCAAAGCAAGAACCCTGTAGCGCATTTCCCTGATGTCCCTTTTCAGATTACTGATTAAATCACGATACTGCTTCTTCCAAATAGGCTTTAGCTTTCTGTTCACATCGTCGTCATCATTTGACCGAATCTCATTTCCCTCTCGGCCGGACTCGTTTTCGTTTTCATACTCTCGATGAAATCCCTTAAGATGTCCACTGATAGCTGTATATAACGCCTTTATGTTTCGGTATACGCTGTTACTAATACGACGTTGACTTTTCTTCATTGACCCGGCCAGACTTTTAAAGAATAATCTGTTTATCAACGATTGGTTAGTGTCTGTATATAAAGAGATAACAATGTGATAAATTGTCACTTGCAAATATACGTACATGACATTAAGATTAGCCCATCAATAAATGTTTTGTAAAAGATGCTTTTGTAAAACTATTTTGTCACATATGTTATGAATTTAAAAACAATATAATAATATACGTCATAAATTTGTGTTATATGCAACACCTGGCACAGAATAATTTCCCTAACAGACTGAAAGGGCATAAATTATATCTTTAGAGAATAAACTGCCATTTATTAATTAAGCGTGATGTTAACTAAATGATAGCTGGGAGAGAAGAGACTTCCATGGAAAACATCAACACATATAATACCATTCGTTATTTTATTAACACTCATTGCCATATACTGTTTAGTTACTTTTGCAAAGATCTAAAAGAAAACAGAAGAAATTGCACATATATACGGTATTACAATAGGTCAGTTTGAGTTTTATTGCATTCAAAATTTTATATCGATATTTTGTAACTATACTTACCTTTATGATAAGCAGAATTACATTTTGTTGCAGAACTATGGTCCGATGATTTTTGTTTTGAAGATGTCGCACTAGAGACAGGGATTGTACTCGAAACTGGAGCTACTTTAACAATGCAGTTACAAATCGGTGTAATTGCACATTTGTCCCTTTGGACAGGACGGACTGTGGTTGTTTCTGGAACACTTTCCGTTGTCGTTTGTGATCCGGCGGACGCATAATTTTGAGATGCCTCCGTTGTTGCTATAGACGTTTTTATAGACTGTAATAGCTGAGATGTAGATGGTTGTTCAGCATTGTTAGTTGCATCTACCGATGGTTTCTCAGATGTTGGAAGTTCTGTTGTCAAGTATTCGACATCATCGAACGCTGAGGTTGTAATTCTGCTGTCGAAATTAGGTTGAATATTAGTTGTGTGTCCATCAAATATATCTTGATATTCTTCATATGTACTTGCAGAAGAAGCACTTGAAGTTGGTAATTTAATAACATTAAGTGTACTTTGCTTATCTTCAATGGTTGTTGTATCTACACGGGGAGCTTGTTTATCTGAAGTGGGGATAAAGGTTGAGGACGTTGTAGAAGACAAGATATATGAAGTCGACGAGGAAGGGTTATCCGATGATTTCGCTGTTGCAGCTGTTGTCCATAGAGAAGAAAACGTTGAAGGAGTATGGTTAGCATATGTAAGAGGTAATATCGATGATTGTGAAGTTGTTGTAGGATTCGATGCTGTTGATGTAATTCCAGCTGTAGTTATTGCTGTTGTTGCAGTAGTAGATGTATGTGACACTGACATTTCTGTCATGGTACTCAGTTGTGGTCTAGCAAATGGTGTAGGTCCATCGAAGCATGTTAAGCAACATGTCTTCGGTGCATAATCTTGATCGCCGTTCTCACACTCAATCCGCATACAATCATCAGACCTATCACCGTATTCACAACCAGTAATCCCGGTAAATAATGCTTCACAAGTCTGGCAACACGTATGTCTAATGTCGGCAATGTAGCACTGACTTGGTTCACTTACAACAAGGTTGAAGCAGCCTATGTTTGGTTCATTGCCAAATGCGCAAGTGTCAGAGCTCGCGGGAGCACTGTTATTTTCAATACAGCTACCTTCATGGCAATATTTTTTGTTACCACATGGAGTTCCATCTGCTGGTAGAATAAATCCACAATACTCTGACCCCGGAAATGTACACAATAGTCCTCCGCAAATTTTCGAATATTCTGTTTTTATTTCTTTACGGCAAACATCTGAGCCCAAACCAAGCGCATTTTCGCATTGCTGTCTACCAGTATATGTAACACCGGGCAATTCAGTAATCAATCCGGCTAATTCAGGGGGGTATCTTACTTCTAATGATGATTCTTTCAAGCACGTTAATCCATCATCATTCAGTTCTACTATATAGTCATTAATGTACTGTTCGGAACATTGTGAAAACTTCCATTTATTTGATCCGAATGACTTTATCGGCAACTTGAACTTTGGGACCATCATGTAGTTAAAGAACTCGAGACAGTCATTGTTGTCCATATCATCTCTTGTACCAAGAGCACGTGCAATTTGCTGGGTTGCAAATGTGACAGTTCTGTATTCGAATATATCTTCAACTATTGACGAGTTTGATATGTTTCGACACATCGATGATGCAAATGCTAATCCTGTATTTCCAGGGCTACCAGCATAAGTCAGATTTGTTCCTGTGAACAGCATTGCATGATCGTATTTTGGAAGAAAATTTGATTCATCAAGCCACTTTTGAAACTTTTCTAGAGCTTCAGATGAATTAACCATTACACGTATACTTTCTCCGTCTCCGTCAATAACGCTCTTTGTAGTCCAGTAAGACTCGATCTCAGTTTTAGCAACAAACAATCCAGCAAATGCAAGATCAATTTTAAAACCTTGATTTTGAATGCTACCAAACCTGTCGTCGATACCCTTGAATATATAAGCATAATACTGTCTGACTTTTGCCATTATTTCAAAATCCTGGCTATCTGGCTTGCCAACCATATCTTTCCACCAGCTATATGCTGCAAAATCGATGACCATGAGCAGATCGATAGTCAAATGTTCGATTTCACGTTTTACTCTGTCTTTCGACTTTGCTTCCCTCGAATATGTGCCAAAGGCATTGGAAAGTTTGAAATTGGGTAGTTTCTTTTTTATAATGCCCAGTTCGTTTCTCTGATGTTTTTCATTGGTCGGGCATTCATCACTTTCACCATTCCTTTTCAGAGAGAAAAAGTGCTTTGATTGATGTGACATTTCGTCTAACGGCTGAATTTCTATGACATTACCATCTATGCAAAGCTTTCCTTGTATCTGAAATTGATTTTCCGATACCCTGTTTACTCCAACAAATGTTTGCCCTTGCTTGGCTTGGTATAACTGACGTTTCGTTTTACCATTTTCGATACTTTCAGCTTTATCACTAAGCAATCCTTGTAAAGCGTCAATTTCATTTGAAGTGAAATCTATTTCATCAAGATATTTTTCAAGAAATACTTCAAAGAGTGGCTTACTCATCGCGTCTCTATGTATGGATAAAGTAACTGTTTGCGGGTAGCTCTCTTCTAAATCACTGACACTAACCTGTTTCACGTAAACCATTTCTGAAAATTCAGACATACTTAATTTGTGTGTGCCATTACTTTAAAAGCACAATTTAAAGAAAGTAGAATTCACATACATTTTCTGTTAGTATTTGTTAGAAATGAATAGCGTTATGCATATGTTTTACTTAATAAAAAAAAACCTTCATTTTGTCGGAAGCAATTCATTCTAAAAATGTAAGGAAACGTATTTTATTTGACCAATAATAGTGTATTATATAATATATACTGTTATATGAATTCGTATGTTTTTCAAAGTTTATCCTATCTTTACATATAAGGGAGAACGATAAAATGGTCCTTAAACAACGTATGGCACGTTATAATTGAATGCAACTCAATAACCTGATCGCAACGCTTGTATTTCATTTAACTGCTAAGTTCATTAATGCTTCTTTAATATTTTGACATGAATCTTTATCTCAATTTACAAGCACTCTTCCATATCTCGTGAAATTGTAGCTTTTAAGCCCGCCAATCATGTTCACACCAGTAAGTAAAATTCATTGCACTTCTTTCTATAAAAATTGAATTTTGATAAGGTTTAAAATTGTAGTATATATTGTAAAACTTATGCAATCTAACGATCAATAAAAACACATGTGACAAAGTCCATGTTTAGAAATTTTTAATGATAAAAAACTTGATTTCTAGTACTCATAAGATTATAACCATTTCCATATTGTTTGATTTTTTTTAAATAAAAAATATACATACCCTTTTGTATGTTATATGATTTTCCTGAGTTGATTAATATAAAAATAAACTTAAAGACGAGATTAAACATATTGCCCACCATTTTTGTTGACACCGAACGAAATGTTGATCTTTTTCCCGTGGGTAAATATTTTTGGATACGATCTTTTCTTTATAAGGCTAAAGTTGTTCCCAGTTGTTTGTTGTTATCTTTTTTTCTTCAACTTGTTGTTTTGCTATTGTATAAGCACTGTTCTACACTGTTTACTTTTCATTCTTAGTATGAAATTTGTTTATATATGTGCATCAACATTATTCATGTATCGTGTTTTTATGTGATGCTGTGCAAAATTTTATGCTGCCCTTTTAAAATATTGTTGCGAATAAGTGAGATTTTATTCTTTTCTTTCCTTTTTTTTTCGAAACAAAACAATTCTCTTTCTTTTTTTTTAATGTATGAGAAATTTCTTTTTATCAAGTCCCTTGAACTGGTACAGTAACGTTTCTTTATACACAATATTGAGATGTAGTAGTAAAATATATTTTATGATATAAAAGTACACGTACATAATACGCAAGCAGTAAAGGAGAAATATTCTTATAACTGTATCTATTTTTTCGGAAATGATAAAAAAATACTTCCCGTAGATATTATGACAGCCTGCACTTTTAAACTGCATAATTTAATGCAAGACAGAAAAGAAAAAGACATTATATAGCATTATGGAGTTTTTCCTTGAAGTTCTTTAAGAAAACAAAGTTAATAATAATATGTGAAGTCTGTTTCCTCGTGTATGATTTGTATAGACAGCTAAAACTAATGAAATGAAATGGTATCTCTATGCCCATATATTGTATTGTTGAATCATAACTTTGCAATTCTGTACAAAGTGATCTAATCTATTCAGAATATACATGTATAAAATGTAAGTATGTTTAAAATGTTTGGAATCTTGTTAATTGAATAAACCGAAATAATTTTAATTTATTATGAAGACATGTCAAAAACGTTTTAGTTGCGCGTTTTAAAAAGGAAACATCAAGCAAGCGTGGGCAGGTTCACCGAGTTTAATACATTCACGTCACGGAGGTTCACATTGTAATAGTATATTAAATCTATTTTCATCAGAACTATTTATTACCTTTGCTATATCTCAGATCTAAAATACGATCTGTTCAAAAATAAATAATTTTAATTCTGCTTGTAAACTAATTGTAAAATATGCTTGGCCTTAATGCTGAAATAACTGACAATGAACACGGAAACGTCCCATTTATGTCATGTTGGAACACCTATTTTAGTATCCCATTACCAACCTGTTCGCCTTTCTCAGCTTTTCGTCCATTTCCTTCCCTTTTCTATTAATATATAACTAAAACTAAATTAAGACTGGTACGCCATTTTATTTTTCAGTTTATTACAACAACCTTATCTTTGAAATACAATTTATATTTTCTTACACAGCTGAAAAATTGATCGTAAAATAAAGAAAAAAAATAAAGAAGTCAATAATGTTTCATTTATGCTAAATTGCTTTTTCAATGGGTGTGTAATTATTTTTTATCAGGCAAAATTCTATATATTGTTTAAAATTATGCAAATTTCAGAGAAAAACGAAATAAAAATCCATTATATATTGTCTTTAATCAACTGTATTTCCATGTCTACACTCCCTTTTGACAGATTTGGGCGTATAATTGAAATAAAAATAATGAATTGACGAAAAGTAGATTGATGAAATCAATGTCACAGCATATGCAAATCCGACTTAGCAGTATTGATAAAAGTGTGAAAGACGAAAATGTATTAGTAGTTATGTATAATTAACAACATCATCTTTTGCAGAAAAAATTCGTTTAAATCTGTTGTACCACGAACAATGTATAAATTAATGTAAAGTCAAAATAAATTAAGTTGGCATTAAATGCCATAACTCTGACTACAACGATTATGCTTCGATTTCATTTTTTATACATAAAAATGACAAAACCTTATATTTGCTGACGATTTAGATGCAGGTCAACCATATTGTCTGACTAAGTGACTTCAAATTTATCTGGACATAAATTAAAAAAGTTTTAAAAAGGAAATTCGGACAAGGGTATAAAGATACGCTTAACCTTCAAAGTAAAGTATTTACAAATAAAACAAAACTAGTTTGTTATTTATTTTAGACATATATTTCATAAAAATTAAAGCAATGGCAATGCAAACAATATGGATTTAACAGTGAGCTTTGGAATAACGCAATAATGACAATTATGAAATGGAGTGATTATGGAAGAAAATGAAAAATAAATAGGCGCAAAAATGGACAAAAATATAAATGTATAACAGAGTGAATAACAACAAAACAAATATCAAATAAACCAATGAATGTGTTCAATAAATAATTTGACATAAAGTGAGCATTACTGTTTCTATGGTAATAAATATATTAATTTAATGAGACAATAGATATTTTACGTTGAATGGGAACATAACGTGAGCCATAAATCTAGATAAATAGGCAAAACACTTTAATGGCCAACGATTTTCTATGCAAATTTCTTGTTTCATTGTTAACAAAATGAAGATAAATTACCGATGTAAAATCAACTCGACCAAGAATTTCAAAGCTAACAAATCAACTGTATTGCTACAACAATCTATTCAACATAATAATTATGATCCAACAAGGTCACGAGTAAGCTATGAATAGAAAGAGACAGTGATTATATAAATATGTTAAATTAAGTGTTGCATCCTTCTGTAAATGATTTCCCTTTTAAAACTATATCCTTACCATAACCAATTAGAATCTAGAAAGAAGTTTAGAAAATGAGACTTCAGTCATACATTATTTCATCACATGATGAAAGGAAATTGTTAAAAAGTTTACATAAGGGAACAAGGAAACACGAGACTTGGTAACAAAATGATGAATTTCGAACATATGTCACTAACTGAATTTGTCATCATGAATCACCAAAGATACAACCTAGATCTAAACCTATTTACTCTTGTAAAGGAAGTAGAAAAACTATAAGGTGTTCTATCTTTACTATTATTTCTATAAAGGTATTGTTACTTCAAAATTCAGCGTCTTCATTAGTGCCTAGCCTTTTCCGTTTTTTCTCTTGAATTTGTTAATTAATTTTATGTCAGATATTTTTATTTTATTATATTCTTTTAAATATCTTTTTTTATTTCATTTGTCAAAATTTTACGAGAATTGTCAAAACTTTATGCCGGAATATTTAATTTGATTGACAATTTATTTTGGGCATTACGTATTTTAATTTTGCATTCTTTTCTATATTAAGGCATGGCCACAAAGTGGAGCTAATTATAGTATCCCATTTGCTTCGTAATTTATTATGATAGCATATGGTATTAAACATCCAAAATCCTGATATGTCCTCAAATTGCAAAACTAATCATTAGGGTCAATATTAAATTAAAAGTACAGTATCTGCTGCAGAAAGTAACCAATATATCACCCGAAGACATAATAAAGGTCAATTATATCATAGATAATTAAGATATATGTGTGAGTCATATAAGAAGGCATGTCAGTGTAATTAGTATGAGTAAATATTCTACTTTGCAAATGATGGATGCTAATTATGATAAAAGTAGTAAAGGTGATTCAGATGAAATAAATATTGGAAAAAATAAATAAATAATTACATTAAAATTATTATTTAAATGCCTTTGGACGGTATCATACCTTATTAAAACAATTCAATAAATTAAGTTTAAATAGAAATAAATATATATAAATTAAATTATATTGCACGTATATATCACAGTCATTGTAAAATTGAAACAATTAGTCATTCATTTCATGATATAAACGCCCTCGCTTATACAAATTAAAACATCTGTAATTCAAAAGCTAGAACGTGAGTTGGGCGAGAATACAATAACGTTTTTCAAAACATGCATCAATAAAGTTGACGGTCGCAACACGACTAGTAACTATCTTTCGTATTGCCTATGCATGCGTCTATCTTTCTGGTTCTCACGCACACAGTGTAAAATCTGTCAAAAGTATATGATAAAATCACGTTTTTCCGCGAAATATTTGCGTATTTGCATTTAAACCTGTACAATATATCGACAAAGGTATACAAGTTCTACATCACAGTGAACATTTGCTTTAAAAACCCCATAATGTCCTGACAATCATTCATAAGGTAATATGCCCTCTTTGTTTCGTTGTATTCTGCTTCTGCATGGGCTTTGAATCTAGGCGACACTAGTTCATCAGAAACAGTTAATTTTGCGGTATCATTTTGTCCTATTAGTGCTATTTTGATGTCGCACATGATCTGGTATAGTTGATCTTCAAGAGCACGAAGCTTGCCTTTTAGTGTTTCCGGTCTATCGTGTTGCTTTCCTATTCTATCACTAGTTCTTGCATATTCTGTGTAACTTATAAGCTTCGACAGTAGTTTGTAGTGGTCTTTCAAAGCTAAACTAAACTGAAATATAAAAAAAAGCAGAGATAATAAGAAATACTTTTTCCTGTCTAGATGTGCGGTTTTCGTTAAAGGACCGCACACAGTATGTATAATGTAATTAATTTTCTCAAACAAATGAGCGATTTCTTTTATACATTGGATCAATTCAATGATGCAAAAGTAAGCGTGTTTGAAAAACAACAATTTTATGTAGCTATAAACATCAATGCATTTGCCCCTAGCAATTATTTTAAACATTAAATGCAGCAAAGGTGTGTTAAACGTAAAATGTTTATTTAAGGTTTGTCAAGTGATGCTGTAAGATGATTAACTCACTATCAAACTTTTCAGAATCATTATTTATCACCACTTTCAGTAACTTATATCAACCAAAAGATACACGCAATGCTCTTGTCAGTTTTTGTTGCTAATATAGTTAATTAATTTCTTAAATACTTACATTTGTCGATGCTTTTGTTTTCTTTTTGTCAGTAACTGTAAATTCTTCTTTTGATATGAAGTTGAATGTTGGTAAATTTGTTTCTTGTATTTCCGTTTTTATCTAAAATCAAAAATAGCACATTTGAAATAAAGATATATATCAAGCAAATTTTATCAAATTTATGGATATAAAGTTAAGAGTTATCAAATACACGTACTTGCAGGTTTATGTTATATTTTAGGACTTATATAACCATAATGAACGTTATGAAAATTGATAGAATGAAAGAGAAGAAGTGTCAAAACACATGTTTGACGTTCTTTCATTGGTCTGGAAAACCCCGAAATGTTTTATAAGTTCTTTGATAATCTCATAACAAGGACGATACGCATAAATCATTTTACTTCCCCTTTATGCAGTTAGACAAATCTGTTTTATTCTATTAACTTTTAATTATTTCCTAGTGAATAAATTAATCTTCACAACACAGCCAATGTTCTAAAAAAAGATCAGTTTTCAGTCGTGATTGATGCGACAGATAAGGAAAATGTAAAACTGCTACCGCATATTTTCCTTTACCGCAACTTAATTGTTATTAAACATAGGTCGAAACGTTAAAAACCGCTTGAGTGACCACATAAACGGTGTAAGCGTTTAACGACAGTGATTCAGAATATGAATGGAATTCCACGGTATAGTAAACGACATGAATTGACGTGTTACGTTAACTTTTACGTGAATATACGTTATTGGTCATCGAGTCACTGTTACAGTATACATTGGTTTATCTACCTATGAAATGACCAATCCTAATTAATGTATACGAACGATTTTGTTGCCTGATTTACATGAGAACAATACATGTAAAACAGATTTACACTTGTTATACAAATATGCTTCAAAAAGAGCTATTGCCCCCGTAGCAAATTATATATATAATTCTGCAGAAAAAAAATATTTACTGTATATAATTCACTTCCTAGCACGAACTTAAAGCATTAAACCTTTTCCAAAGTCACGCCTTTTCTGCAGTGCCTCTCAACATTTAAATGCTCAGCTCTTTTAAGAAAAGTGTCCTCAGAAATTTCATACTTATAGTTCATTACATTTTGCTAATATTTATCATCATACTTTTCATCATTTAACTTAACTCTAACATTGACACTTTAACTCTGGCTATATCTTAAGCTTCAAAAATAAAAGATCCTTACAAAGTCTTTGATCCTTTTAGCAGTGTCATTGACACCTGTTGTTCGTTTGATAAGGTCATCCATCGTAACATCTTTTGGCTGAATCACAAATTTTCCTCCTTTATTAAGAACATTACATGGTTTTTCAGGTTGAAGTGATGCTTGCAAAATAGGATTTGCATTTGACATTGCTAACATAACAGTTAGAAATAGTCCTGTTAATTGTCTACAAGTATAGATGTGACCTGAAAGAAAATTTATAAGAAAATTAAGTTTAAAAAGATCAAAATAATATAATAAAGATATAATAATAATAATTTAGAATGAAAAATAACCATCGCTTCAGCTTATGAAAGAATATATAAATATATAAATCTTAATGCACTTTTGAATATATATGTATTCACAGAAATATTTAATTAATTATCATCATTATCAGTATCTAATTCAATATTTTATCATTGTCATAAAGTAATCATGTTTTTTTATCAATAAAACATTCATTTTCTTCTCTTAATTATTATGTTGCCTGTTCAATATGTATTTGAAAAGCAAATATTTATTATATTAAATGTTTAAATCGTAATGAAAATTGTAAATTATCTAAATTGCTGAATATTTTTCTATGTATTTTATACTTACAAATTTTCTTAAATACTTTTGATGCTAAATTGTTTTTCATATTTTTGTCTAATTATCACAATGTTCTTTCTAGCTGACAAAATAATTTATTGTTTGAATCTCGCCATAATCTACCTTTTATATGAATCAATTGATGTCATTTAGTACATGAGAGATCTCCCCAATTACAAAAATATCTAAAAATAGTATTTTATGAAACTTTCTTACCATCCTACTATGTATACATCCAGCGAGCACATGCTATAAAACCCGGAACAACACTCCGTGACCCTCCCAGTGTTACGCTATTTGTTTTAAAAATCCGCGTCGCGTCTCACGGTATGTTTCACACGCTCTTCACAAATTACGTTAAACGTTAAATACTGGGCGGTAAAATTACTCGAAGGGAATTTTCTGTTTACTCTATTATGACCAAGTATTCTCCATATTTAGCATTGTAAGCCAAAAAAAATCTGAAATTTATGCCTGGCTCTAGGTCTTCCTTTTAGCGATACGCCTTAAATTAAGCATGATTTTATGTTTAATGATGAAAATATTACTGCAATAATAGAAACCATATTAATTTGATGTAACAGCTGTATGACAGTAATTAAACTATCACTACGTCACTCGACAACTTACAACATTGAGGGAGTGCAGATTCTGATATACTGACACGAACAATATTTTAAAAGTACAATGTATATATAAAAGTATTTTCTCTTTAACGTATCTCAGACGGTATGTTTAAACAGGAATGACATATATTCGAACTTTGAGACTATGGTTATTTCTTTTCCGCCCTGCTTTTTGATTAATAGTGTTTGTTAAAGACCTAAACGGGATGTTATTATTACCTGCGTTATTTTGAAGTATTTCGCTTGTGAGACACTGTTTCTATGAATGTAATTAAACTATGTAGATTATGACACATTAACCTGTATCTAACTCATAAATTTATTTAGCCTAGTGAACTAGCTAGCACTTCTGGATCATTTGCAATCCAAATCAGACCATGCTTGTAAATGTTAATGATAATTGATAACAATGCATTCATACTGAATCATAATAATTGCTTCAACTTTTACAACTTCAGCTTTTTCATATGTACAATTTTCTCATTTAACATGTGTAAGGTATTTTTCATTTTGTTGAGATAAATGAATCTGAAGAAAACGAAATACAAGAAATGTAATGATGTTTTGCTCAATATTTCAAGGTCGGGATGGTCAATGATCAAATAGCCAAAATTCTGTGGTTTCGCTACAAGGTAGGGTCAACCAATCAACAGTTATTAGCAAATGGCTGACGTTTACACCTGTCATGTTTGATTGATAATCGAATGATGTTCATTTATAAGTATAGATATTTAGCGAACAGATTTATTTTAACAAATAGTGCACCTTTGTGATATTTCACCATTATTACTGAAATTACATATTGTTTGAGTAATACATTTGTTATTAATAGAATATTTGATAATGCATAATGCTATTTTTGGTGACAATTACGCTTATAAATAATCATTATCACCGTTAATATCAAATACTTGATAAACGTTATAAAACATAGATATATTTCATAAACGTACAATAAGAAACAAAATTATAATATTGATATAAAAGTGGTTTTACAGAAAATTATGTTTGATAAACCACTAGAGTGACTGCTACCCTGACATAAGTATCTCCATGTTTAGCAATTTCATTTCATTGTGATTTATTTTACCAGAAAACAAACTGGGAATACTCCTAAAAATAAGCAATCGACAGGCTTAAATTTCTGTTGTTTTTGGTTGTTTTAGAAAGAATTTCTAACTAAAAGTTTTTAGGTAGGTACAAGACAGTCTTTAGCGAATGTGTTTAAGTTATTAGAGACAGTTATTACAATAAATGGCATAAAATACATAGCCTGATTTCTATGGAGATGTGATCTAAATTTTTGTCTTTTCTTAACTTATTTATCGTTTTATATAAAGGAGCTTGAGGGTATGTCCCTACTGTGTTAAGGTATGCTGCAATGCTTATATTAGTGTTTACCCCTTTACAGTTGGACACTACGTTTTCCTCTTTTTCTGCTGTATTTTTGTATTCTCTACCTTCATTTAATAAATGGAATGGGTTTTCCGTGCCTTGACGGCATTCTACGTAACTTATCGGCACATCCGTTACCTCTCGCCCGTTTCCGTAAACAGATTTATTTTTATTTCTAAATTAATAAATTATTTCTTTTATTATTTTTATATCCAGTATAAATAGAATTTTAGTTTTTGGTAAAATGAAAATGAAATTAACAAAAAGAATAAGTTGTTCATAAACGGATAATTCGTAAAAATTACGTTTCTGTGAAACCAGTTTGTGAAACCCCTGTAAATGACGTCACGATTTCAGAAAACAGAAAAGGCCTTTTTCTTTTTATACTTATTTCTGTGTTTAACTTATTTCACCTTTTGTAACCATAAAAGATGTTAGGGGACCCATTTTATTTACACTGTTTGGTTGAACAGGAAGATGTTGGAGCTGGGTTAAGAGTGATGTTTCAAAATTCAAAATTGTACCAGTTCATGTTAAATGTTGAATTCTACTTAAGCCGGTGCTAGGGGCGTTGACGGTAGTTTGCACTTTACAGTACCGTCCATGAAACCGAGCCTGCAACATTTTCAATTTTGCCGAGTTGGACTTTCTTTACGGATTCTTATTTTCTCTATTTTATCGCCACATCAGCGTTGTTTGTTCCGTGTAGCGGCTGTAAAAAGTCGCCCCGTACATTCAATCAGAGATGTTATATTTCCGATCCTTAAAGATCGTCCAGCACGACATTATTGTTGTGCTTGTGGTAATTTAGTTCTTTCTATTCAGCTATTTTCTTGTTGGATGGTTCCAGTATCCCTCACTTGAATACTGTTGAATCACCCTTAGGATATGTAGCCTGTTTTTTAAATATGTCATTTTGACGTCTTATCTGTGATATGCAGGTCTCATAACCTCTGAATCCCCTTTCAAAATAAATTCCATTTTATTAAGTTCCGCCCATTGTTTTCTCGTTTAGGCCACACGCATTTTTTAACTTTGGGGCCATATGCTGCTTTTTATGGCTTGACACTTACGTGTCACATTGAAGGTTCCATGATAACCGCCGAGTGGTTAAGGTCGCTGACTTGAGATCACAGGTCCCTCACCGCTGTAGGTTCGATCCTCACTCGGGTCGAAATCTTTCATGTGAGGAAGCCATCCAGCTGGCTTACGGAAGGTCGGTGGTTCTACCTAGGTGCCCGCTCGTGCCTGAAATAATGCCCGGAGGAGCACCTGGGGTCTTCCTCCACCAATAAAGCTGGAAAAAATCGACGAAAAATCTCGGCGGGACGCTCTAGGATGGCCCGACTTGAGTGTACGGTCGCCCATATGGGCTTTCCGGCGGCGACCTTAAATAAACGCATTAAAAAAAAATCTATTTTGATGCATTATTAACCAATTAAAGATCACCATTAGTGACTGTGCCTCTGACCGTTTCAATTTTTCTAAGATGTATGTTTTGTTGTTTTGTCGTGTTTTGCTTCAAAACATCTAGTCAGTTCTTCGCCCTTTTGCTCTCTCCACTCTTTTTTGTTTTCCTTTTTATTAAGTACATTTGTTTGTAATGAATTATTTTAATTATTTATTAAGTTATTTATTTATTTATTTCTGTGGGGTGCTTCATTGAATGTCGCGCTCTTCCTTGTTGGTCTTAGTTTTCATACTGTTAAAAAAACGACACCTTGTTGTTATTTGGTCACAGAAATATACTTTTTACAATGAATTGCAATTGATATTTATCCGTAAAATAACACATATGTGAATTCTATTGAATTTTTCGATCTATAACACAAAGTTCCTTATCTTATGCGGTAATCATTCAATTTCTTTTGTGAAATTACATAAATCAATATCAATTTTCTAAACAAAGATTATTTAATATATATCAGTATCTTAATAAATTAATTAATTACTATAGAATAAATAATTATGATTTACGTTCTATAATTTGAGTCAATGGTTTGAGAATTAGGTTTTAAATCTTCAAAGTATTTCATGTTTATTGGTTGCACGTGTCGAAATGTCTCGTTATTGTGGCTATGTAAGATATAAATCATTGTTGTAGGAAAATTTATAGCTTCAATATGCATCGCATTCAACATTTCAAATGTTGCTTTCAGAAATGGTACCATTTGAGCCGCGTCACGACAAAACCAACATAGTGCGTTTGCGACCAGCATGGATCCAGACCAGCCTGCGCATCCGCGCAGTCTGATCAGGATCCATGCTGTTCGCTTACCAACTATATAACAAGTAGAGAAACCGATAGCGAACAGCATGGATCCTGATCAGACTGCGCGGATGCGCAGGCTGGTCTGGATCCATGCTGGTCGCAAACGCACTATGTTGGTTTTGTCGTGACACGGCTCATTTCATTATGCTAACGAGGAAACTTAGTGACCACGCTCTTGTCATTTGCTCAGATTATGGCCAGTTAGGTCAACATGTACATGTACCATCTTTCTTCATTTAGATAAAGATGACTCAGTATATCACAGTGTACATACACTATTTGTCTGTCTTGTGTGAAGATTTATTTATTCAAAATTAAGCTATGGGAAGAATTTTATTTTCGCCTACATCAGTGCATACCAACGATAAAACGTTTTTATTTCAGGATATCGTATAAAATCCTTACAACGTATTCTTAAATTGGTTAAGTTAGTTTTGGAAATTCGTATGAAAATCACTTATAAATTAAGAAGTGAAAGTGAAGGAAGGGGTATCCGAACAGATATTATATATATATTACTATATGTCTTGGATCTTGCTCATTTTAATTTACCCAAGTTGATATAATTTAATAAGCAGGATTTTACAATGGAAAAAGGTTTGAAACGTTCCCACTTTCTTTTCCGTTGAGATCGATGTAGATGTCTGTATTGATATTCTCTTTAATACATGTATATAATATTAATTATAAGAAATAAAATTAAACAGTTCACAAATACCTAGAGTAAGGTCAGTAAATTCGTCACGAGTTCTGCAGATATCTTAGAATTTACAGCATGACAGTACATATACATGTATTTATATTCAAATCTGCTTGTTTTGTGCCAAACTTATTCACTAAAAAGCAAGACGCCTTCAACAGTTGTACCATAATCCACATTTGTTACTATTGATGATAATAAGAGCTTTAAACTACATTATCTAAGCTTGCAAAACAAAACCATTTAAGTGCTATGTCAATGTCAAATAATATTTTAAAAACTATGCTGAAAACTTATCTAGCTGTTAACTATAGTCTGCTTTTTTTTCTTTAAAGACACTTTATGCCTCAGAAAGGAATGAATTTTGACTGCATTAGAAAGTGCAAGCATGAATTTTTAAAGTTTAAATAATAGTTTTAGGCATGGTAGATGCTTATCACATTTGGAGATAAGCGCTGAATGAGAAATTGTTTGCAATAAAAGTAGCAAAATGTAAACAAAGAATAATTTGGATTTTCATACAAAATACTGAATCACTGTAACTGACTACTAACTGTAAACTAGGAATAAAAGATGGTTTTGGAAATTGGGCAAAAATGAGCTTTTAAAAATAATTACAGGGAAATGATAATTGAAAAATAATTAATTATTACCAAAAATAAAAACCTGTGAGAAATAAAAACATAAAAGCGTATCTGGGGCATAATAGGCCTGTAAGTTACTGTAAGAGGTTTTCGGTCAATCAAGCTTTATGAAACTGATTTTAAGGCTTTTTTATGTTCGTTGTTAAATTATCCATCAAAACAAAGTATATTTTTTGTTTTAACATTATTTATTTACATTAGGTTGTGAAGAAACTTTGTGTTCTATTTAAACCACTCTCAAGATCCCTTTCTGGATCTTACGGCTACTGGCGTCACATGCTGAAACATGGTCTTGGTCCAGATCCCTGGTTTTTAATGCTGCCACCATAACTACTGGGACAACAATCCCTTAGAATAGTACGTTTTCATATCAAGTATGCTGGGGAAGTATTTGGTCGATTTTATGTTGATTTGCGCACCTCTGCGTTTTGTGGGATTTATATAAAAGATTATATTGTTCAAAAATGTCTTGTGCTAGACTATAATTGTATTTTTGATAGTTTACATTTAATGATTGTTTTATTGCTAAGCACTTTTAAACGTGATTGAAAGTAGAAAAGAGTGTTCATAAGTATGGGTAAATAATAGTAACAAATGTCACTTGTCAAAGTCTTAAATAAATATTGATTTTAATAATGACAGATGTGTATTTAAACACATATTTCTAATATAGAAAGTAATACTAAACAAAGCGTTATATACGGAAGCTTAAAGCAACTTAAAATAGTTCATTGCTCGTGTCAGATTTCATTTCTGACTTTACTTTTGCTATCGCTTGTCACATGAATATAATATTTTTGTTTTACCTAAGGAGTGAAAATATGTCATGTTATAGAGTAATAACTTTTCGTCAGACGTATAAACATCTTTTGTTCAGTTCATGTCCTCATGACATAAATTCCGTTAATAGTTACCACCTGTTCCGTATAACACTGTAAATATTGTTAAACACACTTTATCACAACTATAATAAATATGTTTAATGTTTATATCTCCTTGAAATTTGAAATGTATGACAATATACTTCTTTAGCAACTATTACAATATACTTCTATAGCAACAGACACGGAAATATCTACTGTCAATCTTTTTCTAAAACACTCTGACATGACACAAAAGACAATTTTTGTGCTTTCTTTCTTTCACATACGGAAGAAGAAATCTAGCAACTTCCGGGTAATGAATGTCAGCATTTTCCCCATTCTTGACAAGAAGCTGCAGATTTTCGACGGCTTGCTGTCTGTGTACGGGTCTATGGATATTGTTATAGGACAATGCTAGAAGAAAATAGGCATACACATTAGCGTCCACAAAGACAAACCCTTTATGATCTGTATCATCGTCTGTAATCGGTTCCCGATCTTTCAGCATCTGTATCGCTTCAGGGGCATACGCCACTTCCCATGGGGAGAACGCTATCTCTAATGCAGCCCATTCCAGCAAAGATGGGGCATTTCCTAGTAGAGACGTAACCGAGCGATGCTTCCGAAGAGACAGCGGTCGTTTGCATGATTTCATCCTCCTGGTTTTATCACCAGTTGTGTTAACGATGTACTCGTTAAATTGCCGAAGAAGTTGCATAATAATTTTGATACTTTCGTCGTAATTTTCTGTCATGTAGTGAAATGTAGCAAGTTTTAGTTTTGTAGCAGCAGCATCTACACCAGCTGCATCATCAAGGTATTTCACTGCAGTCGGTAAAAGGTTTTGTGACCCTCCTTTCCGGTTGTAAGGGTATGTATTTGACAGACCCATATAGAGTATGCCCAAATGACTTTTAATCACCTGTTTGACGATCCCAGTTGCCGGAACATCAGGAAAGTGAACCGGATCGCGCATTGTCGGGTATTCGAGAAACATAAGCATGGCGTCTATCGTTCCCTGAATATCGGGTCTTTCCGTGAGACGCAGAACAACTCGTATTGTCATGTTGAACATAGTGTAACATCTTTCCACCATGGAAACGCTTCTTTCACAGCCTTCCGTGCCCCAATGTGTGTCACAGCAATCACATCTTATCTGTATTTTATGCCTCGCTAAAAGCATATTGAGATTTGGCGGGAGACACTGTAAAATGCATTGCCATCCCTTTTCTAGAACTCCTGTAACTACAGCAGCTAGCCTGATTCTGGTATCCCCCTGTAGACGTGGCAAAAATAGATTATGACTCGGGATGAAATAATGTGGCAAACTTCCATCCTCAAGACATTGCAGTAGTTTCTGCAAACAGCCAACAAAACATGCTGCAAGTTTCTCCCTTGTCCATTCAGCAGGATGTGTACTTTCGACCATATGGAGCATGATCGTTTTAACCTGATATGAAGTGATCCCTTCAATTACCATTGGGTTGATAACATACGTTACCAGTAGTTTCACAAGAAAATAGCACTGCATTTGTGTAATGTTGAATGTGCGAACCAGAAGCTTCTCGGCTAATGAAAATGACCATCGCCATTCAATATGCTTGTTTGGACTCTGTGAGTTTCCAATAGGAACAACGTGACATCCATGCTGTAGAATGAATTTCTTCAATTCCACGGTTGGCCAAATATACCTTCTCACTCTAAACGCCCATTCCCTTGCAGCGAGGGGCCATACTGGTGAATGGATGCATAAAATTGGAGAAATTGTATTTCTCATAACACCAGATATTGCAGGCGCACTTATTGTACCTGTAGTATTATTGCTGTATGCATCAGTCAGAAGTTTTCCCGCCAAAATCATTCTTCCTTGTTCGTCTGCCAAACAACAATTTGGCGTCGACATTATTGATCTACTTGGACTTGTACCCATGAAAACACATTGTAATCTGACATATGATGGGTGGTATGTTTGAATGACCTTGAAAAGGTGTGACTCAGCTTGACCTTCAGACTGCCTCTGCGGGGCAATCCTAGTACCTGACACAGTCATCATTACATTGATATCTGACCCGAGGCGCTCTAGAGCGATGCCCTCTGCTGAACTTCCGACATTTATTGCATGAAACATGTAGTCAACGTCAGACCCGTAGTTAGCAATACCCTCAATACTAAAAAGTGAGTTTGAATAATCACTGAACCAGTTCCTTTGTTTAATATCTTCTTGTGCCATTCCCACCTCACAACAAAGTTCATACAGGTGCAAAGAATCCCGTTCTGTTTGCTCTACGTTGTTCCACATTGTTGGGGTCTACAATCAGGGCTATGTGAGAAATATATAATAATTAAATTAAAAGGTGCGTACATTAAATATATACAGTTTTGATATTTCGGTTAGAATAGAATAGAATAATAAACCAAAGTTGTAGATAATAATTAGAATTGCACATAAAGAAAACTTGTTCAGACTACGTTGTTGGTATTTTATCGCCGACTACGACCAGCGTTACACAAATTACTGTTTGTTCAAGAAAGAAAACACTTCATTTTTAAAACTAACAGCGACGTTTCAATTGTCCAAATGTAATTTCTCAGGGAGTATTGTGCACAATAATGTATTTTAGAACCTTAATTTCAACCTTTACCGCGTGAAGGTTATTCTTAGAAATTGACATTGTTTGTTGCTACTTTTAACAGTATCTGTATCAAAATAATGAGATTGTGCAGCCAGTAGTTAATTGTGTGCCTGGGAAAATGTGCACAACTGTGAACTAGTTTGAGTTGTTTCCTAATCAACCTTTACCTTGTGGAATAGTGAAGGTAGTGATTAGAAACTGACATTGTTTGTATGCTTCTTTTAACAGTTCCAGCATCAAAATATTTAAGTTATATTATCAACCGTTTAAATATTAGTCAAACGGCACTGACAAGAAGAAAGAACTCACTGTACTCTGAAAGCATTTGCGGCCCTTGCGACAAAAGTGATATTATCATACGCTTTTCTATTTCTAGACAAAACACATAGTCAAATGACATATATTTTCACCCTAATGATATTCAGAGGCTGTCAATTATCATCAGATATGCTGAATCATTAAGTTTATTATGCTTAGAGAGAAATAAATATTTTTGAAAAATAAAACAAACAGTTTAAGTGTCAAGACAATAGTTAATAATGTCACATTATCATTCTTATTCATTTTAAGAGAATTTCAACATTTATGAACACGCAATTTAACAAACTAAAAGAATTATTATTTATGTCAGAGTTTGAAATAAACAACGTTTGTAAAAAGAATGTATAAATGTTACCTTCTGAAAAACTATGTTTCTTCTTAACCTTGCATTAAAATTAAAATGAAATGACAGTATAAGATTACGTTTCTTTCAACCACTTAATGGTAGAGTGACATTGTTTAAAACAATACTTTTATTTTTCCGACCGAATTAAGATTTGGAAGATGTCCAAATAGGGGGCAGCAAAACGATATTTACGTTATACTACATATTTACATTGAAATATAATCAATAAATCGTGCAAAAATATGGCAAAACATTATTGCCTTGGTTTAAGCTTTAAAACAAGTGTGTATGTTTGGAAAAAATATAAAAATATAATTTTAAACATTATTCTCTACATTGACTTTATATATGATAATAGTAATAACGTTTTTAAATAATCATAGAAATAAAAAGTATTATTTCTCGCAAGTCACCGACCTTTCCATTACATTGATAAATATTTCATATACGATTCGAACCTAAAGAGACGATGGCACTTGATTCTTGTGGGATCATTTTATACTCATAGCAGCAGATATCAAATAGGCAGTGGCCCAGTTCTTCATTGCAGGGTGTTATATTTTTGTGATCATTCGGGAACATTAATGCCTTTACGTTGTGTGTCGATAAATAAATCCTGCTCTAGCCGGTGACAGAGAGCGAAAGATGTTGATCCATTATCTCTAATGAACAACTTTTAACAAACTCAGTTTGCTTCCTCGCTGGATCTCCTCTTTTCTAGAACATTAATAACCATCTTCATTGCATCTCAGCGACGGACATTTCCACACATTAATTGTAAGGAAGAAGGAACATTTGCCGTAAAGTTGATAGGAATATACAAAAAAATAACTTTTTAAATCATGGCTAAAATTGTACCATGGGACTGTTGTTAGACATGACAATGTCTTAATAAAACATAACTGCGGTTTGAGAACGAAGGTTTAACATACCTCGCGCGTGTCAGTTTTCTTTTTTTTTGTGCTTTGCACTTTTAATTTAAATCCACAAGTCATAATTGGTGTATTTCTGTTTTTTCCGTGTTATTATGTTTGAAGCGTAATTATGAGTGTAAAACAGAAGGCATTATGATGTAATTAAGATTTTAGGTAAATTCGTACGTATCTGAAGGATATTGAATGAGTGTAGGTTCAAAATGAATTTATTGAACGATTGATGTAAAAAAGACATTTACTTTAAAATTTATTTTTCCGTCAAATTACCCCTTTGTCCAGATTTGTTTAAAGGTAAAATATGAGGAATTTTTATCAGGAAATATCAGTTATTTAGGTTATCTTCCTTGGGGTTTTTTGCATGAAATCATCTTTGAATTACTGCAACTGTGGTTGTATCAACCACGACTTTAATTGTATTCAATTAAACACATGTATCGACTGATGCAGGTTGGTTACTTTATTGATTGTTTAATTAATGTGGATAACCATTGTTAGCCGTGAGACTGGAGGGTTGTTTTTTTAATTTTGACGTAATTAAAAATGTATACAATACTGAATACTTAATTAATTATATGCGTTTAATACCAATCTTAGTCAAATTTTGCAATTATCTTTAATAAGCAGGTATACGAAGTATACGTTTAGATGATCTTAAAAAGATAAAAACAGAAATGTACATAAAATTCGCTTAAATCAAGACACTTAATCATACGCGTAGTTTCATGCTTTTACGAGGGCTGTTCAATAAATACGCGGTAAAGTGTCCCTATTTCCTTATTTTCCAAGTTAGCTGAATAAAACTTATACAGTAATAAAGTATGGAAGAATATTAACGCCAAAATTACATCTTGCTTTCTTACGTTACATCGTGCTTTCTAACTTGTACATCTTGCATTCTGACTTGTACATCTTGCATTCTGACTTGTACATCATGCATTCTGACTTGTACATCTTGCATTCTGACTTTACATGTTGCTTTCTTTCATGCACATTATGCTTTCTGCTATGTGCGTCTTGCTTAATTGTATGTTGATATCGTTATTTAACGATAAATTATTATTCATTTGTTGATCTGGTATATTAATTCAATAACTTAACCTGCAACTGTTTGTATTTGGGTCTATTTACTCAGCATGAATGACGAATGTCATAAGATAGAATGACGCATAGCCGAAAGCCGAATGCAGCAAGCATAATACCAGCTGCGGGGAGAACACTTTGATGATGTGGACGAGTTGTCCTACGCGGTGCAAGGTGCAATTTCAGAGATAAATAATGGCTCCTACTTTAATAGTTTCATGTCATGGATCAACCGTGGTAAAAAGTGTGTTTCCTTTCACGGAGAGTATTTCGAGAAGGACTAGGTGCGTGTTTTGGGTGACTCTCATACATGCGTTGAGCGTGACGTCGTTACGACGTTGGGCCAGTTTCACTGCGATTACCTTAGAAATACTTGAAAGTGTACTATTAATTTTGTATCCGATTTTATTGAAATTTTGTGTACATGTTTATTATATGTTTATTTACAAAATGTAAAGAGAACGTCAATTTCCCATGAATATTAAAAATATGGCAGCACTTTTCCGTATTATTATCTTACTTCGGATTTTAAATAGAAGTTCAAGTGTCGGGTAATTATAAAAGAAAAAAAAACAGGACTTAGATTATGAAAATCGGAACAATGAACACACATCATCTGACGCAAAGGTTAAAAAATATTGTAAAAAATAAGAACATATTGTTTGTTAACAATATTTTTTAACTAAAATTAATGCGCTCATTGAATTTCTTATAGAAAACCAACAAGAGTCTCATGCCCTGTGGTCTTCCAAGGCCCAACACCAACAAGGTCAATTTCATAGTGCTGCCAAGGATTTGATATCTTTTAACTATAGTGTAGTTAACTTTTTGAAGATTCATTGCCCTGTAAGGTATTTGATCACACTTAGGTTATATTTTTTTAATAATCGAACATAGGCTCTTTACAGCTGAAAATTGCATTGACAGTGGCATTTGATATTTTGACAGACATCATCCCTCAAAGTTTGATTTAAGTACCGCTCTTTTTCTGCTATTTTACATAATTGACCTTTTTAAAGTCGTTCAAATGAACAAGACAACAGTTGATGATGAAGACGACATTAACTGTAAAACTATAGGGAGCGCGACAAAACAATACACTTAATTAACACATCTTATAAGTTCATATTGTACATGCATATGTTCATTTATAAACTGTTACATATTTGCGTTCATAATGATCCAATCGTGCTGATTTTTTTTTTCAATAATTACATAAATAAGAGATTATATGGTAATACATTAATCTAATTTCACAACAAACGCATATTTAAGTCATATGATTTGATGGTTCTTTGAAAAGTCAATGTTTTTGTGGAATGGGCGACCACATATATGTATAATAATGATGATGAATAATACGCTTAGGCCCCTGAAATTTGGGAAAAGCGGCTGGACACGCACAAAACGCTAAATGGGTCCAAGTCCTTATAATATAACAAAGGTGTCACATGGTTGACCACTCGTGTTATTATTTGCAAGCTTTTTTTCGCATAAATAACCAATATGTTGATAAAATATGATTATGCCAATGTTTTTTTTCTTGTATCAATAAATAAAACACCACGAAACACACATGATGAAACTAAAACAACGAAGATTAAGTAACCAAGACGCCGACATAAATAATTTGTTCAATCTTGGAAAATTTAATGTTTTTCATTAAAAAGACAATCAACAAAGATCGCATTTGGACTAAATATGACAGCTACCATGACATGCACGAGTAACGCAAGCGCATACGCTATTTACGCACGTGCCGTTCTGCATGTTTAATTTTGAACGCGAATATTTATTCTCTAAACAAGATTATTCATTTGTTGGGTTAAGTGAAGTGTATGCGTTTAAGTCTCGTCTAAAGAATGTCCTGCTAATGCTTTACTACTTCACAAGAATTTTGATTGGAAAATGACAACAATTTTTGATTGAATATGGCATTTTGCGATATGCGTCACAAAAACAAACATAGATATTTTTAAAAAATGTACAATTTATATATGGTAACAGTATTTTCTTAACAGCAATTAAAACACAAGACGTTTTTAACGGACATATTTTTGATTTAGCATTATTTACTCGCATTTTGTTGTAAGACATGATATAGCCAATGCCGAACTATTTTCATACTACATGAACACATTGATCACAAAAACCTTATACACTCAACGAATCGGTTACTTCCCCTGATCAGTACATCGTTAAGAAACCGGTGCGTGGAGTTTGGGCTACTCAAGTCATGATTATGCACCTTCCACGAGGAAACCTGTCAAAATTACCCTAAACCTGTGTTATTCCTGGACATGAATCGATCTGTATATAGAGTTGCAAAATACAAATTTAGTATCTTAATACTATATATAGTTTGTAAAACATAATGATAATAGAACAACAAACAATTTTAAAGAATTCAATACCCCCGACCTACCCCTAAGTTTTGTTAATTGTAATTAATGTGATCTCTCCTAATTACCATTGTCAATAATTTATTGTCAATAAAATAAAAGTTTCACGTGGGTAACCGGGGATAAATGATTGAAGACTTGCTTCTATTTCATCATTTTATTGTCGGACATACAAAAACGAGCCTACAAACAAAATACAAAGGATTTACAAATAATTGATTTACAAAATAATAAAATTACACATTTCATCCAATTCATCAATGGAAAAGAATAAATATGACATTAGAAATATATCAATTCTTACCAGGATCAGCATACATGCAAGAACTGTCCATAAATGATGTTCAAGTTTACTAATAAGTAACTACTACTATCAACAACTATACTGTAAAGTATCAGTTACTCGTATAATGTGGAACTGGCGAAGTGAAATATTTTACTTAAGCAAGAAAATGTTTCGTGGGGATTTTAGGGTCATGCACGTGAAATATTAGTGAACACATTCATACAACCTTTCAACTTACAGTGACCTCTCATACGAAACAGACTATACAAAACATTACCACAGTTAGGCAAACAACAGTTAGGCGAATACCAACCAAATACAACATAGCACAGAGGATACAATATACCAGTGATAAAAAGAAAACGATACACAGGTTACACGTGCAAAGGTATTTTAATACAATATTACTTGAAAATAGATACCAAATAATTTCTAAACTAGATTCTATTTGAAAGACTCTAGGTAAACGAATGATAAACAGTATAAGGAAATTATACATGTTCAGAATGTATGGTAGAATCATCTGCAATTCCCGGAAAAACCGTAAATTTCACGGAATTGTTCTGGGTCTTCTACAGAATACACAAAGGAGCTTTATATAACATTATTAATAAAAGTCTCTGAATATTCAATGTAATATATAGCTCCATGTATATACATGAGAAACTTTTTACACACATTACTTTCTCTGCATGTTATATACAAATACATATGTTTTTGTTACCTCCCTTAAAGATGAAAAGGTACATACTGAGATAATTAACACAGCACAATATATACAATTTAAGTTATATTTTCATGTGTCCATATATTTTATTCGGGGATATGTAAACATCAATAACTTTCAAAACGTTTGGGAAATTCAGGAAATAATAATAAAAAAACAACAACAAAAACCCGGCATTTTACCGGAACACAGAAATTAACCCCACCTCGACTGTGTCCAATGTTTATTATCTTAGATTCGATAAAAGCAAAATAAAGGTAGAATCGTTCTAGAGCACCTGGCAACAGAATTTGTTTAATGGCTGCTTCCATACGAACGCTACAAGAATTTTAGTTTACAAATAATGCACTGTTAATACACGAATTTCTGTAAAATTACAGTGGCTTTCAGGCGCTAATCGTAATGGCGTCTATTTTAAGAAGTGCGGCTGCCGCCGTAAATAACAAAGGCATGCCGAGTTCGTTTTATAGCAAAGATAAAACAAATCCAGTTTTTCAGTCTCTTGATAAAGAGATAAAGCAGTTTATGGGATTCATCAAAAAGAGAAATTCGAAAGGTTATCAAAAGCCAAATGAAGAGGCACAGTCGAGATCGTAAGTGGTATTTAAGTGTATTGGGAGGGATTAAATTTTGCAGATTTCAAGATTTATATTTCCAGTGTAACTAGTCCTAATTATAAGACCTATACGTAACCTATTTCATATTTATCATTCATTAATCTGATATTTTACATTTTTCATTTTCCATGTTATGTTAGGTCTTAACACTAACAGATCTTTGCAAAATCGTGACGTTAGGTCTTAACAGATCTTTGCAAAATCGTGTAGCTAAAAATTGACATTAGACATCGATTTAGATCTAATGCATTTAAACAATTAAGACAGTGTGTAATATGAAAAAGGCAAAGCCTCAAAGCGAGCTCGATGTACTTTTAACGTGAAATAGTATGAAATAATCGCTCACGTACTGTGTTAAATATGGCTCCGCCCCTGTCGTTAAATGAATAACGAGTTTTGAAAACGTTGATAAAACTTTGTTTATTTTATTTCACTCTATAATTTTTCAAGCGAAATAAAGATTATTAAAAGTGAAATAAATGTAAAACTTAAAACGTTTGCGACATTAAAATAGCGTACTTGATTTGATTGTTTTGCATGTGCTGTTTGGCGCTACATTGTGATGTCACGTAAACAATACTTTAAACGTCTGTACAGCATTAACAACTGAATAAAAGATATTGGTGTTCGGATTCATTTTCTTAGTTAGACCATTTTCTTTCATTCTAGATAGTTTTCACAACATAATTCGACAAAAAAAATGTTTTTATTTATCAGATTTTTCAAACAAAATGGCGCCTTCAATTTTCATTTTACATTTTCCGTTTTAAAACTGTCATTCGATATTTTATACACAGCTTCCGTTATTCTGGTTCCCTGTCCAATTATTGTTCCCATAGACTTGCGCGGGTGACCAGTCTACACATCCGTTTTCAGTCAGAATTCCTCAGTTTTTATCGTTATCTTTAAATTCGAAAAGTTGCGATGTGTCCAATTCGGTACTTCGAACGAAAGTTTTCAAAACCATCACTTAGCAGGTACTCGCGTTACCGTAAAGCTCGCTTTGCGAGCAGGCCCTTTGGGCCAGCTCGTCGAGCTCGCTATTAATTTACATTAATTTTGACCTATTTATGAACAAAACTAAAAAATAAAATACCTTTTAACAAAATAATTAAACTGTCACATCCGAAAAGTCATGATTAAATCCTCTCATTTAATTTAATTCCTTGTACAGCCGATATACAAATGGCCGCCATACAGTGCGCGAAATCTGATTGGCTAATTCAAATGCAAGCGTTTAAATGAGTCCAGAAGTTACTAACGAAATATTTTTTCAACGAAATAATTGCCCATGCACCGTCAGTGTGTTTGAATATATTTTTCCGTTCAAAAAATTGGAATCAATCTGTAAAACGCTTTACTTAACCAGTATGGCTAATAGGCGAAATAGATTGATATTTATATTTTATTTTTAATTGATAAGTACATTGTTTAATGATAGACCATGCAATTGAAAGAACAGAAGATAAGCTTTTGAATTAAGCTTGAAAGGCAAGTCAACAGACAGTTTTTTTAATTTTTCAAAATGCTATGCGTTTATGAGCAATAACTATTAGACGTCAGGCTTGACCAACATAAAACTATATCAAGCCTGTAACGTCTAATATATTGGACTACAGTGTAACGAGCTGGACATGGGATCCCTTGTCCTATCCCTCAGTTATTGATTAACAATAATATGAAATTAAGCATAGGTTATGAACGGGGAAGTCAGTTATGAAAATGTTTATTTTTTCCGTTTTAAAGGTGAGAATGTAAAAGTCAAGGTCCCAATCCCATGTACAAGTAGCTTAAGGTGTTCAGCTTACCCATTTATAGTGGAACCCCATTGTAGTGTGCTATTCATTGTATTGATCTATTTACAAATCTTTCGATTTTTTTGCACAATGCACTAGCTACTGATTGTTTACATTTACAACAGTGTCATGAAAATCTTTCGCATTTGTTTTGTGCCGTAACAATGATCAAAAACATGTTTCCAGTACCGTCAGACTTTGTAGATAATAAATAGACTTATAAATAGTGTGTTCTTATTAAAAGTACATTAACTGTCTGTTGGAAGTTCCTAAATTTATGCTGACATTTTAAAACAGACATCTTTGCTTCTAATTGACTGAAAAACCTAGCATAAATATGGGTCAGGCTTCCCTTCTTTGACTAACTGAGCGATTCTCACAATGCATCGATATAATGGCGTGACCTAATTCTTCAACCTGTTTGACATGTCTGTAAATATCTGTATATTCCAAAGCTAAAAACAATATATCAGTGATGTTTGCCATGTAAATATTATGACAAAAAAATCAAAATAAATAATACAAAATAAAGATTCAGGGAGATTTAAATTTTTTAACTACAGTTGTGATTTATGGGTAAATAGATCAATACAACGGGGTTCCAGGCTATATACTGTGAAATGACGTGAATGCTGAAGACAGACCCATAGCCTGGGGAAAATCCTTCAATAATTGTGCCAGTGTGTGTGTGTTTGCGTTTGTTTACCCTCAACATCGGAAAAAGACCATACGGGCGAGCATTAATTGTGCCAGGATTTGACAGGCCCGTATTCATTTGTGCCATGGATTAAAGTGAAGCATATCCTAATAAAACTGTATAATCTGTTCAGGTTTTCTAGTTTTTCTAGGGTCACTTGTCCTGCAGGGCTTTTGGTCATTTTGCTTGAAAATGCAGTAGATCTATTGAAGTCTGTTTAAGGAAATAACAAAACTGTTACATTTTCATAGCTCAGTTACAACTGATAAGAAATGAATTGATAAAAAATGCTGATAAAATGTCAGTTTTCAACATTGTAACAATTACAGTTCATATTAATAATTTTTTAATATGATTGTTTAAATGGCTAGAAAAAAGAATAAACAAGTGAACCTTAATAATTTATATAGTTGTAGTAATTTTATAAGTTCTAATATTCTAATTTTAGTGCTGACACATTGTTTGAAATTTGGAACAAGTATGAGCCAAGACTTCCCAGAGCCTACTACCAAGAGAAGTTGCTGGAAGTCGGGGACTTCCTCATGTCTGCAAAGGTATGGAGTAATGACATACTTGAATATGATTTTTCATGTCATTTTTACTACAAATTTTTCTATTCAAATAAAACTGGGAACAATTTTATGTTTGAATACAATGTACATGTAGCTTCATCATGTGATGTGTACTTTTTTAGCTCACCTGTCATAAAGTGACAGGGTGAGCTTTTGTGATTGCTTTTCGTCCGGCGTCCGGCCGTCCGGCATCCATCCGTAAACTTTTACTTCAAATGACATCTCCTCATAAACCACTAAGCCAATTTCATCCAAACTTCACAGGAATGTTCCTTTGGTGGTCACAAAATTGTTCAAAGAATTTAATTCAATGCAGAACTCTGGTTGCCATGGCAACCGAAAGAAAAAACTTCAAATATCTTCTTTTAAAAAACCCAAAGAGCTAGAGCTTAGATATTGGCATGAAACATCTTCTAGTGAGTGTCTACCAAGATTGTTCAAATAAAAGCCCTGGGGTCAAAATTGGCCCCGCCCTAGGGGGTCATTGATTTTCCCTATATGCATATAGTAAAAACTTAAAAATCTTCTTTTAAAGAACCCAAAGAGCTAGAGCTAAGATATTTAGCATGAAACATGTTCTTATAGGTGTCTACCAAGTTTGTTCAGATAAAATCCCTGCGGTCAAAATTGGCCCCGCCCTAGGGGGTCATTGATTTTCATTATATGTGTATAGCAGAAACTTAAAAAATCTTCTTTGAAAAAACCAAAATTGCTAGAGTTTAGATATGAAGCATGAAACATCTTCTAGTGAGTATCTACAAAGTTTGTTCAAATAAAAGCCCTGGGGTCAAAATTAGCCCCACCCAGGGGAGTCATTGATTTTCCTTATATGTGTATAGCAAAAACTTAAAAAATCTTCTTTGAAAAAATCCAAATAGCTAGAGTTTAGATATTAAGCATGAAACATTTTCTAGTAAGTGTCTACAAAGTTTGTTCAAATAAAAGCCCTGGGAAAAAACTGGCCCTGCCCCCAGGGGTGTCTTTGTTTTTAACTATATGTGTATAGTAAAAACTTTAAAAGATCTTCTTTTAAAAAATCGAATGAGCTAGAGCTTAGAAGTTTAGCATGAAACATCTTCTTATAGGTGTCTACTAAGTTTGTTAAAATAAAAGCCTTTGGGTCAAAATTGGCCCTGCTGGGGGGGGGTGAGATCATTATTTTTCATTATATGTGTGTAGTAAAAACTTAACATCATGAAACATCTTCGAATGGGTGTCTTCCAAGTTTGTTCAAAAAAAAAGCCCTGGGGTTTAAAATTGGCCCGTGAGGCCTATATACAGGTGCCATCATGGCCCTCTTGTCTTATTTTGAAGATAGATACATTTAAAAAGTGCTGGTACATGGATATTGTGAAATAATTATTGCATGTTTATTTTCTTAAATGAAATGAAGATGATTATAAGATGTTATATTAAGAAACTCAGTGGGCGGCCCCATTTTTATAATGAGTTCAAATGTCTATATATTCATGTATTAATGTAAAATGTACATTGGCTTGGCAGGAATACAGCTTGGCTCTGTGGCAGTGTTATGATAGATATTTGATGCACTTTGGAAACATAAATGTAGTAGAAATCTCTGATATAGACACATTCAAGTCAACTTTCTTCAAGAATGGCTTTGATGGTGATAGTGCAGGGCTTACCGTAAGTGTTTGTGATATTTTTTTGTTATTTGTCTAAGTGTCTTGAGTAAGTTTGAACTTGATTTAACGAACGTTATACGTTAGTGATAAGTTTCATGTAATTTACCCGTGGTCAATAATTGAAATATTCCAAAAAAGTTGGTATTTTCCGCACAAAAAGCCCTTTACATTCTGCTAAGCATCAATAAAGATAATTTCTATAATTTTATTGGATAAATTCTGTTTTGATATATACAGTATATAGTTGCTTTATTCTACTCTTAACCAAAACACTGAGATGCTCCTGAGTGATAATAATTCTTATGCCTATCTACATAGAGTATGACCAAGAAAATGGCAAAATAATTGCTTGTTTTTCCTAAGGTTATCATACACATACAGTGATTTACAAAAAATCAGGAGGAATATATTTTCATCTCAGTTCTTTGGGTTTTATACACTCATGATTTAAAACATATTGTGATGAATATGATGAATTGTCAAACTGATGGATTAGAGAGTTCTTTAAAATAAAGTTTAGTTTTATTTATTCTGCAATCTTTTTTCGTTTTAAATTTTAGAGTGTTTGCTTCTTCATATTGACATAACCATTCATCCTATAATTTATTGAAAATGTATTCAAAATGAATTCATGATCCCTGAATATGGGTTTCAGGGTATCCTGAAATTCACACATAATTAAATTTGGAAAAAGTAAAAAATATTGTCATAACAATGATAACACTTTTTTCAATAAACTGATGGTATTCTATTTATGCTTAATTTTACAAAACTGTTTCATTATGCAGACCTCTTATTGTACATGTATCTCAACTTTGATTTTTGTTTCCAATATCAAATTTAAAAGAGATTGCAACATGAGTTAGAAGTTAATTTGTATAGCTGTATATTTCAGTTCCGTGCCCTGATGGGTAAGTGTATCAGCATGTATCAGGTAGTGAGATCCTCAGATCCCAAGTTACAGAATGCTCAAAATGTTGCCAATTGTGTGGAGATATTGACCTTTTTAAGACTGGTCACTCAAATCATTCTGCCCATTGAAAAATTATGCTGGCTAGTTTACAATGGTAAGTTATTCATTTTGGTTTTCATTGTAAAATATTAACACCTTGAACTGTAAAAACTTGTCAAGAAATTGTATGCTCCCTAGATTTTTTATATGTGATTGAATATTTTTTTATGCTAAAACATCAATTCTTCGTTACCATTTGTTCTAAATTGAATTTTGTTTTCTGTTCTAGTGTTTTTCAATGATATTGTACCCTATTTCTTGTAGGTACTATCCACATATACAGTATATCACGTTACTTGATGTCCCTGGGTCATTCAGCAAAGGTTTTGGAGTATCTCCTGTGGGCCTGCATGTGTATGGAGACTTCAGTACCTCTTCTTACAGTCAAATATCTCTCTTGGAGGTCAACACTCTATACAGCCGTATGCCAGAGTTATTTTGACTGCAAGGCAGCAGAACATGCTGAGGTATGCAGTAACAGATGTTAAATTTTGAATAATTTGAATAATGTTATACAGCAGTATTGCAGAAACTTAAGGCTCTAATCACAAGTTTGCCATAACAAAATAAGTACAGCTTTATATAGAAACTAATAGAATGTAGAAATAACATAAGAAGCCAGTGTTGCATCTAGGCCGCGCGATTGCGCGATTTGCCCATTTTTTATGCAGAATGCGCATTTTAATGAAGTCAATGTGCGTCAAGTCGCGCATCTGACGATCTTTTCAACTTAATTCAGTTTATCTATTCGTATCTTGAACACTTCAGCCATGTTTGTTTTCACTCATGGTTATGACTAAAATACTACAGGGATGCCAATTTTCCGCGGAAATCCACGGATTTCTAGGTCCGCGAACCACATTTGAGAACGATGTAAATCCGAGGAGAAAATTTGGGAGGTGGGGGTCTCTGTCGCCGAGTTTGCTACCGTCTATTGTCCACCGATTGTAAATGTTTAGACCATACCGTAAATATTTAGACCGTACCACTTTTCGGGTATGTTCAGTTATTGTTGCTATTATAGTAAGCCAATGAACGATAGTGTTAAATATACCGACCAATTGTAGCGTCTTTCTGTAGTTGAAGAAAGCAAAACTAAATGTCGGCCGATTAGCAAGAAAGATATTATCAGTTAATGAAAATATTTTATAAAGCACTAAAAGGAAATGCATTTTAGACCATCTGAAAAGGATGAAAACCCAGGACCTTTGGGGGCTTTGCCCCCTGGTCCCCCACCAAGCTCTGCCCTGTTTGTGCCTGAAATAATGCACGGAAGGGCACCTGAGGTCTTCCTCCACCAGTAAAGATGGAACGTCACGATATGATCTATACTGTGTTGATGTGACGTAAAACCCAAATTCTAACACTATAGGAAATTTGCCTATATAGACAAAGAAGGTCGGAGGCGTGCATTATTCTACAACAATGCACTCGCCGTTCTTATTATCTCCCTGTGTATTTTCACATTGAGGGCGCCATTTTGTTTAAAAAAATATGATAAATAAAAACAATTTTTTGTCGAATTTAGTTGTGAAAACTATCTAGAATGAAAGAAAATGGTCTAACTAAGAAAATTAATCCGAACACCAATATCTTTAATTCAGTCGTTAACGTTGTACAGGCGTTTAAAGTGTTGTTTACGTGACGTCACAATGTAGCGCCAAACAGCGCGTGCAAAACAATCAAATCAAGTACGCTATTTTAATGTCGCAAACGAGTTAAGTTTTACATTTATTATCCCCCGCCGAAAAATTTCGGCGGAGGATATAGAAATAGTCTCCGTCCGTCCGACCTTCCGTCCGTCCTTCCGTCCGACATTTTTGTCCGGAGCATATCTCTAAAAGTATTTGAGTTATCAACTTGAAACTTCATAGGTGGATAGACCTCATTGAGGAGGAGTGCAGTGCACAAGAATGATAACTCTACCTTGCATGATTTTTGAGTTATTGCCCTTTGTTATTTTTCAAAATTGATTTTTGTCCAGAGCATAACTCCAAAAGCCTATGAGGTATTAACATGAAACTTCATAGGTGCATAGATCTCACTCAGGAGGTGTGCAGTGCACAAGAATGATAACTCTACCTTTCATAATTTTTGAGTAATTGCCCTTTGTTATTTTTCATACCTAATTTTTCACCTGAGTGGAGCATAACTCAAAAAGTGTTTGAGATATCAACATGAAATGTCATAGGTGGATAGATCTTATTGAGGAGGAATGTTGTGCGCAAGAATGATAACTCTTCCCTATACACTTTTTGAGTTATTGCCCTTTGTTTTTTTTCATGGTATTTTGTCCAGAGCTTATCTGAAAAAGTATTTGAGGTATCAACTTGAAACTTCAAAGGTGGATGGATCTCATTGAGGAGGAGTGCAGTGCTTAAGAATGATAACTCTACCCTGCATTATTTTTGAGTTATTGCCCTTTGTTATTTTTCAAAATTAATTTTTGTCCAGAGCATAACTCAAAAAGCCTTTGAGATATCAAAATGAAACTTCATAGGTGCATAGATCTCACTCAAGAGGTACAAGAATGATAACTCTACCTTTTATAATTGTTGTGTTATTGCCCTTTGTACTTTTTCATACTTAATTTTTCAATTCAATTTTTTTCTCAAAAAGTATTTGAGGTATCAACTTGAAACTTCATAGGTGGATAGATTTTACTGAGGAGGGATGCAGCACACAAGAATGATAACCTACCCTGCATTATTTTTCAGTAATTGCCCTTTGTTATTTTCAGCCATCAGTATTCACATAGGTTTCAAATCTGTAATCACTATAGCCATCAGTTTTCATTACCAAAAGACCTCTTAAAATGGAATTATTCCGCTCTACTACACATACATTCTTCCAATGAGCAAACACATTCGGCGGGGGATGGCCATGTTGACATGGCTCTTGTTTCACTTTTAATAATTTGTATTTCGCTTGAAAAATTATAGAGTAAAATAAAATAAACAAAAAAAGTTTTATCAACGTTTTCGAAATTCGTTATTCTCAAAATGTTTCTACACACGGTAGATTTAACGACAGTTTTTTTTCAACTCACTGGAACAGCCTTTAAAGAACGTTTCTATTGGAAACTCTGAGACAAAAACAATATAAACCACCAAACATAAAGTCCAACTTTAAAATAATAATTATATTTTTTCTTGACGTGTTAGAATGGAAATAGATATTAATTCTTCGTGCATTATTGTATAATAATGCACGGTTTTCGTTCAAATGCTTTGTAATTAATCACTCAGGCCTATCGGCCTTCGTGATTATATTACTACGCATTTGAACTCAAACCGTGCATTATTCTACAACAATGCACTCAGAATTGATATCTATTTCCTAAACAAACAATCTTATCAGAACCAATAGCAGTAAATCACCTAACCCTCATGTAAATGTCTTTAAAACACTGAACAATTGAACAATTTTATTTGTTTAACAGCAAATTAGGAATTCTCATGCAATAATATGTGCAATTGATTTCAGAGTTTTGCTAGACGAGGATTATCTAAGATACAAGAGCTAAGTCAGCTTGAATCAATGAGCAATGCAGAGGACTCCCCTGAGAGAGAGATTGCCTTTAGACAAGCTACAATTAAGGTACATACAGTTGTAATAAAATATTTTAATTTTTTCATCCTATTTTCAGGTTTTGATGGTTTTCATACATTGCTAACATAAAATTGTGTGACAGAACTTCTGAACGTATTAACAATTTCAAACATGAAAATAATACTACTATGTACTCATATGTGCTTTAAATTTTATACATTCTCGTACATTATATGTATTAAAATGGCTTTTAAGGCCCACTAAATCAAACATTTGTCCATACTTGATTCATTTTAAACATAGTTTATTCCGAACAAATTCATAGTATATATACAGATAATACCAGTTAGAATGTACACAATCCAAACATGAATTGTTGAAAAAGGATTTGGTCCAAAAACTGAGCTAATAAAGGCATTCTCCATACCTGATTTAGATATAGAGGATGTTGGAAATACATTTATCACATACCCATGCTGCTTTTGCAACTCCAGAAAAATGGTGTGGCATGGCCGTGCATTTATTTTGATGTGGCGTCATTAGCATTATACAGTTATAGAATTAAGGCTTGCTAATGTCAGCGTTACACTATTGGCCACGGGGCTTGACAATGAATTTTATTGTTTAAAACAATTCTTATTTTAGGTATGTGATAAAAAGAATATTATAATTCATTTGATTAGGTTCATAACTAAATTTGTTGAAGATTTTGCTCCCTAAAAGCTTGCATGATATAATTTTTTTCAACTCATTAGATAAATTCCATATTAAATCTAAACTCATTCAATATCTTCTGTTCAGTGAGATAAAACCTATATGATTGCATCATATATTACAGATGGCCATAATGGTGTTCCGTAGATCTGTGTATGAAACAAGAAGAAGACCAAAGGGTTTGCTGAGACCAAAAACAAGAGCTAACCTTAAGGATGCCCAAAATGTAAGTATAGTACTACCTATCCAGTATCTTTTGTATTTTTTACCTGTCTTGTAAAAAGAGGCATTTCTAAAGTCAAAAAAATTGCTAAATGGATAAGTTGCATTCTGCTGGCATGATTTTTAATTGCTCAGTTTGCAAAAGTTGGAAAGAAATTGAAATTTATTTGTATCAGGCCTTTTTCTTAGAGATATATGCAGAGAATATATAGCATAACAATAGTTTCTTTACCCTATATGTGTTGTTGTCATTATTTCAATATTGGTCATGCTAATTTATCCAAACAGCTACAATGGCCGCGTACGCCCAGTGAGAAGTTGTTACAAGATATGTTTGAAGGGAGCTCCACCCAGCTATTGTGTATCCTAGAGGCACTGAATGATACAAACAGAAGGATCCTAATCACATCTCCACCGGCCCCGGACTCAGAAGTGGAGATTCTGGATGTGTATGCTGAGCTGTTTATGGCAGCACAAGAAATTTTAGCAGGTAATATTAATTCAGTTGTTGTTTTCTTCCCAACGTTTTTAGAATGTGGCCTTAAGCTTTAAAATTGGGGAATTTTTACAACAATTTGTGTAAAATTTGGACAAATGTAAGATTTCATACGACTATACCCCCAGCAGAGCTATTCAAAAAGTGTCTTGAAGACACTTTTAAATAACAATTACTTTCGTCTTGGTATGTTATATTTCTTTCCTATAGTCTTGCCCCGCCTTTCTGAGCCAGTGCACTAGACTGTTCTCAGTGCTTGATAGTAAAACAAGAGCCTGAATAATGTATAATTTTTAAAGTTCAAAGGGCCATAGTTCTGTCAAAATTCATATTTACAATAGCTCTTCTACTTTTTGAAAAGTCGAGCGTAAACAAGAGATTTAGTCAATCTGAAATCGCAACAGGGTTATTTTAACTGCCTCAAACAGGACACCATAGAAACTGACTGAAAGTTGTAGCAATTAATCAAATCAATTGGATGGCCATTTCCAGGAACAAGTTACTGTTGATTTAGCATTGACAAAACTAACAAAAGTTTGTTGGATGATGCTAAAACTCTATCATTGTTTTTAGCTCACCTGTCACAAAGTGACAGGGTGAGCTTTTGTGATCGCTATTCATCCGGCGTCCGGCCGTCCGGCTGTCCGCCAAGATATTTGGCATGAAACATCTTCTAGTAAGTGTCTACATAGTTTTGTTCAAATAAAAGCCCTGGGATCAAAATTGGCCCCGCCCCTGGAGGTCATTGATTTTCCCTATATGCATATAGTAAAAAACTTAAAAATCTTCTTTTAAATAACTCTAAGAGCTAGAGCTAAGATATTTAGCATGAAACATGTTCTAATGGGTGTCTACCAAGTTTGTTCAAATAAAAGCCCTGGGGTCAAAAATTGGCCCCAACCCCGGGGTCATTGATTTTTCTTATATATGTGTTTAGCAAAAACTCAAAAAAATCTTCTTTGAAAAAAACCTTAATAGCTAGAGTTAAGATATTAAGCATGAAAACATCTTCTAGTGAGTGTCTCTACAAAGTTTGTTCAGGTAAAAGCCCTGGGGTCATAATTGGCCCTGCCCCGGGGGGGTCATTGATTTCCCTTATATGTGTATAGCAAAAAAACTTTAAAATCTTCTTTGAAAAAACCCAAATAGCTAGAGTTTAGATTATTAAGCATGAAACATGTTCTAGTAAGTGTCTACAAAGTTTGTTCAAATAAAAGCCCTGGGGTCAAAACTGGCCCCGCCCCAGGGGAGATATTGTTTTTAACTATATGTGAATAGTAAAAAAACTTAAAAAGTCTTCTTTTAAAAAACCCTACACATGCTGATCAACACTCCTGTAAAGTTTCATGACTCTAGGTCAAATCCTTTTTGAGTTACGTGTGACACAAAAGTGAATGGACTGACGGACGGACAAGGGTAAATCTAAATGCCTGCCACTAAAGTGGGGGCACAAAAAATTTATTCTAATTGTTAAATTGCATTAGTCTTAAGATTTGTTTCTGGTATGTTCTTTTTATCCAAAGCTTATCATGTAATGATTGATATGTAGTAAATTCAAGTTGTTTTCATTTGATTTCTAGGATTAGTTAGCTACGTTAAAGAAAACTATAACATTTTATTTATTTTTGTACATTTTATGTGGTTTTAGTACGCATTTATATAATGTTTGCTATAAGAAACTTTGATAAATATTATTTAATTTATGGCTTGGTTCCAAGTATTTTCGATTAATGTGTGATTACTTTTCGAGTAAAAAATAAATCGTGTTTATTAAAGATAATCAAATGTAAATACTAAACGGCTGTAAAACTTCGATGTTAAACTATAAAGTGTCTACATTTGACAGCTTTAGAAATTATCTGTTGTTTTTTCTGTGATATATATGCTTAGGAATGGCAATAAAACAGTCATATTCAACGTTCTTAAAATACTCATTTCATTTTAAAGACTAACATTTTTAGAATTATACGAAAACCCTATTTTCTATATAGAAAATCAACATGCTTTGCAATATATACAGTCCGTTTTGCAATTAAGATTGCACGTTGAACAAGCGTATTTCTCGACATATTGAATTACGAGCGAATGATGAATCGAAGCCAACATTTACTTTATATATGTTTCATTTTATTACCAGGGACAGTTTCATCAGTGGTGACTACAACAAACCACATTACCTACCCAACAAATTTTGTTTTATTTCTACTTAAAATAGATATTAATGTAGTAAAACATGTAATAAATGCAAACAGACATACAATATACTTAATTTAAACTTTAATCCCTGCTTGACTTAAGTTATAAAAGTATTCAGCAATTGTCACTGCATAGTTTGAGATTTCAACCTGTTAGAATCAAAAGTGTGTGCAAACACACGTCAATAATCATCATACAAATGTATATCAATTATATCTAATTCAATCTTAACAAGCGTGTTAATCTTATTATTGAAAATATCTAAGATCAGATCAGATAATTACTCATCTGTATTGATGCCAATAAATTTTGTAAATAGGATAGCAATAATATAATTGAAGAAAAAGTAATTTTTGGGAAATCCAAGTTATAACAATATTACACATTTTATCTTTTATGCATGCAAAATAAATAAATAAGATATTAATACACTGATAATGTCTAGATCATTATCAATCTGTATTTCCAAGTTTTAAATGTAACTGTTTCATAAATTTATCTTTATTGCAATAATTTCAAATCCCAAATATATGACGATACAAATGTGTGGATGATCAATAAATGTTACGCTCATATTTAAGAAAATTAATTCAATTGATCAAATATGGTCATTTCTTCTGAAAATATATACCCATTCCGTATTTATAAAAGAGGCAAAACATTTTAATGATTTTAAATTTTTAAAGAAATAAGACAAGATTGTAAAGATAATAACTTATCTGATATACTTTATGGATGCCATTTCTGTTACAATAAGGTCAGGAAACAGGAAATCACAAATAGAACTGAACGGAAGAATTGTCGTGGAAAAATGTTTTGAATAAGACATCGGAGATTCGTCAAAGGAAAGAGTGAAATGTTGTTATTATCATAGAGAAAACGGGTGGAAAATTAAAAAGTGCTGATGGTAATTATTGATTTTTATCCTTCTTTAGTAGGCATGAGTAGTTTTCGTTTTTCACATTTCGAATACTCTATGTATGTTGACTTTTTTGTTCATTGTAATGGAAAAAGAAACAAATATATAATGTCATCCTAGTGCAGTTATAAATAGGATAAAAATCAGGAAACAAAGTGATCCCTCGGAAGCATTAATCACAATAAAATTGCAAAAAAAATGCAAAGTCGGTTTGATTGAGTCTGTACATGAGGGATACTGAATACATGCAACATCAATCACGCCCCCTAGCACCGGCTTGAGCGGTACTCAATTCTCAACACTTAATAGTGCTGTCATCAATGATCCCGAAGGACCAGAAAAATATAACAACACTGAAGTGAAATACGGGGCAACGTTTTACAACTGCCACACAGTACTTGACACCTGCTGTTGTGAAGTAGAAAGACAGATTACTAGTTAGTTATCACTCTTAAGGGACAATTATAATTATGCATGTTTTGCTTACAGTTGAATGTTTTGTTGAATGTCTCATTTTGAATGCAATATTGACGGTTTATTTTTTTGGAAACACCTAAAAGTTCATAAAGTGCAATTTTATGATTAGAATCATTTTAATCTATTATGAATAACATTTTTTACATTCCTAGCAATATATTTGTCGTACAAAGTTTAATATCTAACACGTTATTTAAGTGCGTTCACTCTATAAGATCAATCACAAAATTATGCAAGAGCAGGACGGTAAAGAAGAGATGTTTTGACGTTGAGATATGCTTTGTTAGGAAAGACAAGACGGCTCATTGTTAGAAGAGATAAATCGTTATTGAATCTCAGAAAGGACAATAGCATCACATATTACATTTCTCTGTGTATTTGTCTGATATAAAACATAATTTATATGTATACAATTTTCTAGAGTACAATCGGAATTGTTATCCTTTCAATTCCCTGAACAAAGAATCCCATTATTGAATAAAATGTAAAAAAATGTACTTGCAAAAAAGTTATCAAGATAGATATAACATAAAAACCAGTTATATTGTAACATCTATCTTTTTAAAACAAAGTAACATCTATCTTTTTAAATCAAAGTACAGTATACAACTTGCGAAGTCACAAAGCACTCCCCTTGTGGCTAGTCAAATATGTGTTTCTTTAAGATTTGTACTCGTCCAAATATTTTCCCGTATTTTACATTTTAAGCTCACCAGAACCGAAGGTTCAGAGTGAGCTATTAGTATCAAAAAGGGATGCTCCAGCGTCCGTGGTCATGCGTCAACAATCGTATTCTACTCTGAAACTGCTGGGCAGATTTACTTCAAGTATGGTCTGTAGCATCCTTATGACAGTCACACTTAGATTTGCTCATGTCATTTCAATTGGCCCCTTTAAGGGGTCAACAGAGCTAAAAACAGAAAAACCTTTAAACATCACCAACTACAGAACTAATTGATGGATGATCACCAAACTTTGTCTGTAGCATTATTAGGTAGTCTTTTATCAAGTTTGCTCAAATCAATTTGATTGGCCCATTTAAAAGGTCTCTAGAGCTTAAAATAGAAAAAAACCTTTAGACATCTTCTTCTACAGAACTAATGAATGGATGATCACCAAGTTTTGTCAGTAGCATTCTTGGTAAGTCTTTAAGCAAGTTTGCTCATATTAATTTGACTTGCCCCTTTCATGGGCCGCTAAAGCTAAAAACAGAAATACCTTTCAACGTCTGTTATTACAGAACTAATTGAAGGATGACCATCAAACTCTGCTGTAGCATTCTAAGGTTGTCTTTTATCAATTTTGCTTATATTAATTTGATTGGCCCTTGTAGGGGTCTCTAAAACTATAAATAGAAAGTCCTTTAGACATCTTCTACAGAACTAATTGATGGATGAGCACCAAACATTGTCTGTAGCATTTTTGGGTAGTCTTTTCTCTATTTTATAACGTTTGCTCATATTA